ATTGAAGTTGGAAAACCTTGGTATTGCTGGACCCCTTTTAAAATTAATTAAGGATTTCCTAGTAGGTCGTAGACAGAAGGTAAGAATAAATTCCAAGTGCTCCATCTGGAGACTGTTGTGAGGCAGAACACTGATGAGGACAACCGAATTGTATTTAGCTCAAATTACAGAGTTAATTGGTAAAATAGAAAAACCATATATTAAATCGTTAATTTGCAAAATATTAATCCTTCATATTAAACTGAACTGTTCCTGTTTCAAATATCAATCCATTGACTGACATTTCATTGTTCATGTTTTTCCATACAAATTCCATTGTGTTGCCGCTCTTCCTCTCTTGATTTTTCCCCATCTTCTGCAGCCAGCCATTACGTTTGAAACTCGCGTTATATACTACTTATTATCTCAATATAAGTAGCGCGCACCACAAGACCAGTACTTAGTGGAGTACCTCAAGGTTCGTCCTAGGTCCTTTACTTTTTATACTGTATGTAAATGATCTTCCAAGTAAAGTACAGTCTCCAATGTTATTATACGCTGACGATGTAAAGATCTGGCGAGTAATAACTGGAGACAGACTCAGATGCTTTTCAAGCAGACCTAAATAATATAGTTAACTGGTCTAAAGAGTAGCTGATGCCTATCAACGCGGCAAAGTGTGTCTACATGCACTTCGGGGACTCAAATGTTAATAGATATAACATAGGGGAAGTGCAATTACCAGTGGTTCGGTCTCATAAGGATCTGGGTGTGACAGTCAGTCAGGATCTTAAGACGACGACCCGTTGCCGGGAGGTCGCAGCTAAGGGGTTTCGAACCCTATGGGCTTTAAAACGGACATTCACAAAACTAGATACTATCATGTTCAACAAAGTATACACGTCTTTAGTGAGAGCTAAACTTGAGAACTGCGTTCAGGCTGCAAGCCCATGTTTAAAAGGTGACTCGGATATCCTAGAAAAAATACAGAGGGCAGCTACCCGTGCAATTCCAGAACTCCGGGGTTTACCATACAAAGAGCGGCTTGAAAAGCTAGATCTCTTCACACTGTCCTATCGCAGATTAAGGGGAGATTTAATTTTGATGTACAGAATACTGAGAAACGATTTTGGACCTAACTTACTCTCTCTTTTTCTTCCCACTAGATCGGGACATCTCAGAGGACATAGCAGGCGAGTAGAAAAGCCAAGAACAAACAAAATACCCGTGGCATACAGGTTCTCACACCGAGTCATCAATACTTGGAACCTGCTGCCCGAAGTAGTGGTGTCCGCACCCTCAATTGACTCGTTCAAGAGAAGTCTGGACACTCACAGAAGCATACTAGAAAAGGAATAACATAGGCCTTCTGTCCTTACTTTACAAATCTGTATAGATGTCAATAAATTATTCACCTCCCGTCAGGTTCTGGAACATACATACTGACATATTTACCGGCTCTAGACTGCGCTTGGACCTCTTGACCCTTAGGTGGAATTTCAGTCCGTTGGCTGGACTGATTTGTTTAGCTCCATGGACATTTTGAACGGGCTGTCTGTTTCTATTCCGTTGGCTAAGTTGATTATTACTCGAATAGGTTAACCTAGTTTACAATTTTTCATTTGTTGAGCTCTGTATTGAAACACATTCACGACGGCATTAGTAATTAGTCGATGTTCATACCTCCATAAGTCGATCATTTCTGACCGATTAAAGGCAAACAGTCATCTAATCTCGTCCACTGTACATATAAAATACACACCAGCATGGATGCATTAGGCTTTTGGAAATTTGTCCCACTGATCGTGTTTATCTGCTGTAAGATCGTCCGTTTTGCATTAGTCTGCAGCTGTTAGATGACTCGTGAAAATAAATGACGGGTAATCTGCAATTATTTGATCATAGATCTGTTAAAAATGTTGCTCGGATATGACAGAACTGTCAACTGAGTAGTGCTGTGCTTAGGTGTAAAGTATTAGATTAAAAAGGCGAATTGGTTAATAAAACTTTGAGCCTTCACCAGTTAATTGGACTGGCGCAAGTTACGTAAATCCAACCATCTCTATCTAGTAGTGAAATGTTTGAAGTAGGTTGGGAAAAGTTAGTGAATAAGTAGATCAAGATATAACAACGATTCACTTACTGCCAGTACAAGTCATTTGGGTAGCCATGAAGTTCCAGTTCTAGGCCCGCCCAGTACTCAATAAATGATTAGAAACTTTAAGTAACGTGGTTCTAAATCGATCACAATGACGCAGTATTATTTATTCGCCATCTCTCTAAATATTGAGTTTAGTTTTATTCCTGAATCTCTATTCTCAAATCTCATTTTTCCTCGTTCTGTATTTCGCATGTTAAGATCTCCATTATAGTGGGTATTGTGTCCCATCCTATCTCTCATACTATTTATTTCCTTTCTCGTTTCTCTGGCGTGTGGTATGAGAAATCAGATAAGTGCATTCGTTTCAGGTCCTACGTTAACAAAGACTGACTGCATTCTGAATGTCCATATATGGTTCAGTAACTGTCTATAAGAAATTCTGTTTTCGATTAGAAAAAGTGCTCAATAATGAAACAGACGAAGTAATACATTCACACTGTAAAAGAATTTTTGTAGTTGTTACTTTCCCACCAGTTGTGTTCGTAAATGTCCACACATAATTTGTCCTTCATCTTTAGAACTGGTGTTTTGTTTGTTTCCGTCTGCATGCGACATCGATTGTGTTTGTACTGCGAATTGTTGGTGGTGTGAAATTTGATATAGTAATTCCCGCATTCCTGCATGGAGACTCGTTCTCGGCAACAAAATAAAGCATTTGGTAGTCACTAAGAAATCTAAAATGATTTGGTCCCCTTAATGTCCATCAATAGGACTGGAATTTAATTATCTTCGCACTAGTAAGACAGCTGACTTTATTATTATAATTGGTACAATTTCACTTGGGAGTCACACCTTTTATTCCCTCAATATTAGCTAATCTTTTCTCATTAAACAATTAGATAACTTACATAACTGATTACAAAATGTTCCGCTTTTTTATGTTATGGTTTCTTTGTGGTAGGTTTAGAATTCATACTAAAGGTTTAAATCTCTAATTGGTAATCTAGATTTATCTTTTGTAACATCATCCCCTCGGTTATTTTGCTATGATTACTTATGTTATTGTCTATCATGCTCTTCTTAATTGGAATACTGAAATATGACTGAGGGTTTGTTTAAAGCCCTGAATCCCATTCCAGATTTCTTTGAGACTATATTAAATGGTCGTGACTGCTTTCAAACCTCGCGGATGTGGTCACAAAACACAACTTTTAACTACATTAAGGGCTTGTTATATCCCATTGTTAATGTTCAGGATTGAAATTAGTGTCTTTGTAGGCACTCATGCATCCGAATAGAACGAAACATGTTCTGGAATCCGCTGCCAGCCAAGATCCAAGAATACCACGTTGCAAGTTCGAGCATCTAGGTTTATTTCGGTTTGGGCAACCGAAGAATATCACTAGCCCGCACCCATAAAACATACTTCAGGTTTAAGTAAGAAAACATGTACTTAGCGGCTGTATTAAGAAATGGTATTAATCTAACTTGTGATCACTTTTATGCAAACTGCCACTCTTATCATAATAGCTCGGGGGTACATTAAAGATCCCTACCATCAATCTGCGGAGGATGAATAGGTCTTTAATTGGCATAAATCCCCTATCAAACACTTTATGCACTATTGAACTATTAACCTGATAATTGAGTGAGGTTTTCGTTGACAAAATAAATGATTTATTCGTGAAGTCAGATATTATCTGGAAATCTAGAACTTATAGATGTAGGTGCAGTGGGCGAAATCAAGTTGACAGTAACAAGATGAGACAAGGTTGGGAGTGATACTTCCAAGCTCTGAAAAATTAGGTTAGTGATCACGACACAAGTCTGTTTAAAACCCACCTATTTACGCAATCTATTAGTATCACGTACTCCCACACAATGAATGTTCATACTCGCGTACACGAACATGTCCTTTGTTACCGAATTGTAATAAATTAAAAATTCACTATTATGGACTCCTATCAAGTCAAAATAGTTAGCGATTGTATATCAAAACGTGCCTTCGATCACACCAAACTTGTGTGCTCAGTTATACAATATGTGGATATCATTGTGGTGTGTGCTACTTATGTAGACATAAGTAATATATGACACGAGTTTTAAACGTAATGTCTGGCAGCAGAAGATGGGGGAAGATCAAGAAAGGAAGAGCGGGAACACAGTGGAATTTGTATGGAAACTCATGAACAATGAAAGGACAGACAATCGATTGATGTTTGCAACAGGAACAGTCAAGTTTGTTATGATGGATTGTTATTTTGCTAATTAACGATTCACTATATAGTTGTTAGATTTTAATAACTAGTTCTGTAATTTGTTGTCAAATACATTCGATTGTTCCTATTGGTGTTCTTGTTCACTACATCATCAGGGTTATAGATAAATTGTATCAGTTACGCAACACGAGAGAGAATCAATGGAGTAAAACAATGATGTATTACTCTGGCTTCAAGGATTTCTGCACCTATCTACGTACATTTAGAAGATGTTTAACGCATCTTAAAAAAGTTTAGAAGGGAATAAATTTCACAAATTATCCTGAAGTGACCTGACTTCATTTCGTTTTATAATGAAAGTTGTGGGTTGTCAGTAACCTGTGGAAATTTTAAAAATATTAGTTTATTAACGCCGTTAATATCAACTGCTTTAGGCAACGTTGTTTTGATAGACTGTGAGAACAGTGGATAGACAAATTACCTTCATCACAGCTACATCATTCCCGTTGTCATTTGAATATTAGAGAGAGAACGTGAAATCAAACTTCTAGGGCATATTCGAAACAATAGCTGTCAAGTTTAGTTTGGGGTTACAGTATAGCAGTCTTTTTACTTGTGTTGTTATACCCAATATATTCCACGTACGTTTTTTAATTTTATTTTTACAGAATTTTAAACTATTTTTCATTACATGCCAGTACATGGGTGAAACTAAGGACCAGTCATATTTTTTAAAAGATCTAAAACCCAACATGAAACGTGTATCATGTGTTTTTATAGTTTTGGAGCTGGGTTTGTTGCTTGTTTAAACTACAATTTATACCATATCATAAGGTCCTATCACGCGTACGAAAGATGGCAATGAAGTTCGGACTGCGAAGGTCGCTGATCGCACAGGAACGATTAATATATCTGTTTGGAATGAGAATAGTTCATTAATTGCTCCATGTGATGTTTTACAGCTAGTTCAGGGTAACACTACTGTAAGGGGTGGCTGTTTAAATTTGAATGTCGGTCGTTATGGTCAGCTTATGAAAATTGGAGAGTAATTTTATGTAATTGTTATTCCATGAATTTCTTTTCAGATTTTGTTTTCCTTTTGTTGAGTCACCTGATTTTAGCGCTTATAATGATGAATGGTTGGGAAAATCCGTAAGTACTATCATCTTGTTTGGTTAATCCAGTTAATATACTTACAGGGCGACTCTAGTTCAACAAGTAAATGTGAACCAACCAACAAACAATGAGATAACTCCAAATATATATATATATACTTTCACCATCTTGTTCTTTCATTCACTTTTGCTAGTGTGGTTGTGTGAATTATCACTTTAGAGTTGTTGATATCATAAGACTAATGATAACCGTCGCTTCACTTATCTCGAAGTCTCATCAGCCCTTGTGGTCTGGTGTGTGATGAAATTTCAGCACAGATATAGAAGGCTCGACTATCTTTTGCCAACTTGCGTCATTTATGGTGTAGGCGAGATATCCGTCTACCAACCAAAGGACGTGTTTACTGTGCAGTAGTTCGTTCCGTCCTACTTTATCGCAGTGAAACATGGCCGGTAACAGTAGGGGATATTCGTAGGTTACTAGTATTCGATCATATGTGTTTTCGAAGCATTGCTCGCATATCCTGGGACCACCGAGTAAGTAATGTAGTTGTTAGGAAACGGGTACTAGGTAAGGATGGCAAATAAACTGATGAAGTAGTGAAACTTGACCAGTTGGGATGGCTAGGACATGTGTTACGCATGCCCAACTACCGACTGCCCCGATGTGGGATGTTTTATGGTGTAGGAGTAGTTTGGAAGAAAGCTAGGGGCGGCCAGACCAAAAAATGGCACAAATCTATGAACTCACTGACAAGTGGACTGAGCCATGTTGGTAGGTGTAGACTACCTGGTTAGGATCCGCGAGATGATAGCAGCCAAAGGTTAGAGACCATGAATGACATGGTTCAAAATCGTTTGCAGCGACGCAGGTGCATCCACTCTTTGTGTTCTCCCAAATTCTATACTTCTGAACTCTTCATGTCCTTTTTTTCCTCTTTCCAAATTTATTTCACTGGATTATACTCGTTGAATAACATCCTCAAACCCTAATGCTTCCGATTACTGCTTATACTTTTACTACCTCTACCACAATGGGATTTGAACCGACAACTGCAGCTTTGTGCTAATGTGATATGGCAACTCGGACTGATGTACGTACGTACAAAGTTCTACGTTGTTACTGACTGACTGAATGAACGATAACCGTACTAAACACCAGGCGCTCATTTGAAGTAATCAGGTTTTAAGGCTTTACGAGGTTAGATGTATCATTATAGAGTAAAGTTATAAAATACTTCGATGGTTATCGCCTGAGGTGTCATACTGAATCCAGTGAAATAGATGAGGTTTTCATTCCTCTTATCTGCTTACACTTGTGGTGTATGCTACTTATGTCTGTCGACATATGTAGTATATAACACCAGTTAGAGTTTGAATGACTGTCAAAAGAGGGTTGAGAAGATAGTACTGAAAAAACAAAGGAATTGTGGATTTTAAAAATCATGAAGGATGTAAAGGACAATTGATGGAAGATTTGCGAATGAAGTATTTGATGTATGGTTTTCACATTTTACGAAAGAACTTGGTAATTTTGTGTTAAGGAATAAATTGGTTATCCTCATATGAATTCTCGTTCATTACACATTTAATAACTAGTAATTCTGATTGACAATAAGGTGGAAAATGATCTGAAAATCAACCAAGATTATGTCGTTAGTATATAGGGTCACTGGCTGTTTTGCTTTTAAGCGTTAACACATTCCCTTAAATCACTCATATTTGGACAAAATGGATTTAATTTAATTTACTTCGGAGAATATTGTCACATTTTGTGGAAGGTATAGGTTATCATTTCGGTGTTTCCATAGATATTTTCTCTCTAAAAGCATTTCAATTAAGTGTTGCTAGGGTTTTTGACAATTCAAACTGTTATGCATATTTATTTCCAGGTTAAATGTCAAAAGCACCAAAAGAAAAAGAAATTGGCACAACTCGCTTGCAGCTTTTGGTTGACAAAATTACTACATCTGGTTCCAATAACGTTGATTGTTCACTCGTTGAAGAGACCATAAATATATGCAGGTAATTTTGATTAGTGTATACCTAACGATCTCAATTTAAATGATGTTATTTTACTATTACATTTATAAAATAAATACTTTTTCGGTCATAATGTTAGGCTTATACAATTTGAACATCTTGTTTAACAGAAATATAAATTTGAGTAGTTTTCAGAATTTCACTTTGAAATATTTCAATCTATTTAGTTTGTGCTATACCTTTATGGTATCCCTTCTAACAAGCACCAGAGTAGAAATGTTGCTGTTAATTTTCTGTAAGTTCCTAATGTGTATAATCACACAAGATCTATAGGCTAAATAATTAACCATAATAATCCAAAAACTAAGTTGCGGATAACTTCAAAAACGGTGGTGTTTTAAGATTTTGTGTTCCTTAAAAAATTTAACTGTAGTCAACCTAGCGAAGAATTTTTCTAATTCGATATTTTAACTTTCTAAATGCTAAGATGGATCCAGAGCTTGGGAACTCACTTCTGTTGATAAATTTTCAAAAACCTCAAATTCCTTTCGGTATACCTACACGTTTTACTCTGTATCATCATCCTTTAGTTTTCTTTGACTTCTGGTAATTCATTCATCACATCTGAAAAAGGCAAGCATTGCAGAATCACGAAGTTACCTTATCGTCTGTAAGAATGTAGGTCCGTAAATCCTTTTTTCTTATGAGTAAGCAATGATTATTTAAATCTGGTAACTATCTTGTTTGTGGTATTATATGAATACTGCCTTGTGCTTAAATTTATTGCAATATTTTGAATAAACCATATTTTTTCTATAGATCAGTGTCAAATAACAGTTAGTGGCTAAGAAAACTCATAGTCTTCTGAAAACCATGAAGGACAGTGTGGGAATGTTTGTGGTGGATTTCCAACAAATGCTCAACGTCGATACGTAACTAACGTTGACCACGTATTTTGGAAGCTTCACCTGGCATAGTATCTTGGTAGCTGAAACAGATAAGAGAGACTTGCATGACTTGAACTACTCGTGGCACCAGAGAAATGTTCAGCTGTTTATTAACAAGTGAACCTATTATGCGACGACTCGATCTTTTGCGCCAAAAGTTTGAGTTGTGATGCGTTTGTAGAAGAAATGTCTAGGTTACAAGAACATGGTTACTAGTATATTGCATGAAATGGACTAAGTAGTGAACCTCCACTAACTGGTATTGATCAGTCATGTTACGCATTCATAACCACCGTCTACCTTGATGCTCTATGCCGGTTAAAAGATAAGCGAATAACAAAACCTATAAGAATGGTCAAATCAAGGTATGCCATTCTTATTCCTCTATAATTCATGTATTATTTTTCAGTCTTCATTCTCTAACCTTCTTTTCGTACTCTCGATACCAGTATTTCACCCTTTCAATCCTACTCTTATTAGTTTTATGCTGTACTGATTAGGAGTGCAGCAAGTTAAACCGATACACATTCTATGCTATATTTGTGTACCATACTCACGTTTACAGACTTCTAAAATTACAGATAAATGTATGCTAATATTATAAATGTGCTAAGTTTACCCATCACGATAAGAGGTCGAGATTCATGTGTGTGATTGGCTAAAATCATATATATCTTTTTGTTATGGTCTTTGATTATTTCATTCGAAAAGATTAGTGTTTAGGTGATTAAAAATTATTATAGCACTTTGAATAACCGACTTAATTTACTTTTATTTTTTCCAGCAAGTCAAGTTCTACTGTTTCTGATTTATTTCGATTTGCTACTGTTCAATTACGCCGTAATCATGCTCAGATTCGACTTGGCGTGTTAAGATTACTTAGATTATTATCTTCTCCCCAAGCGATCGTTCGTCAGTTAACCTTGAGTATGAATGATGCGATCAAATTCATTCCTTTAGCGAAATGTCTTCGTAACTTGATTTTAGATAATTTACAGGTAAGCTAAGATCAGCCAAACAGAAGTTCAGATGTACCAATTAAAGATAGCATTGTAAAAATCTTACTCGTAAGGTATTTTAACCGGTTTTCAACATTCTATCATATGTAGGTAGCCTATCTTTCTCAAAACCAGTTGGTTTCCAAGTCAGACACCAATGTAATTTGCTAAAGAATACTCCTCGTGATTTTCCAACAAACTGTAGTACGGTTCACACGTAACAGCGTGTAAGAGAGAACAGATGCAAACTGGCTCAAAGTACTCCGGTCACATGTCCTGTAATGAGATCGTGCAAAGATTTCTAAGTTTGTTTATTTTGATGATTATTACTGTGCTTGGATTATAGTATGTTTAAAGGAAATGGTTAGGGAATTAGTATTAAAGTTGAATTAAAAAACATGACATTTTACTCAATTTGAATGCTCATAGATATCGGTACAAGAAAGCTCCAAATACATATGCGCCACACAGATCTCAATTGATTTGTGTGAGGGCTGTGATACTGCCCGGGTGCCCAAACCGAAGCAGGTGGTTTTCTTAGGGGGCCACACCCCGAGCCTTTGACCTGAAGATCTGATCCACAAGGCAGTGGAGCATCGTGAGGAGATGCAGTCCCATGGTAGCCGGTGACCAACGATTGGTTCATACGCCATTTGTTCCTTCAGGATACTGGAGCCCATGTACACCATTGGTTTGGGACCTTGTTAAAGCGCCGGACATTCGCTTTTCGTCCTCTCATTTTCGTAAACAACACCCCTGCCACGAGAAGGCAGTGAGTAGGACTTCCCTGGGAGTGGCTGTATACGCGTGGCCATGTGAGAGCGTTTCGAGAGGGAGAGCGGACTCTCCCCACTCTCGGCCGTACCAGGGCATTTGGGGGCAATTTGAATGCTCAGGTTCTTTGCATTCGTCATCTCTTTTCATAAGTTTCTTGTGCTACATTACAATATCATAAAGAGTTTATTAAAAGCAAACAGTTAAACATGTTACAGACCTAAACTTTCCTGCACTTACCAACGTTTCTACAACCAGTTAATATATATCAGCTTTCACACAATAAGTGCATTTCATAGCCTGGTAACTAAGATAACCCACCAACGGTTCTTGTTAGGTCACCGGTTAATCAGGAGTGCCATGTAGTAATAAGAATAACATATTTTTAACCAAGCAAATAACATCTTCCGTGAAGTTTTTATGACTTCTCTGTGTGCGTTAAAATATAAACAAATGGTGTGCCTGTGCATTCTGTTATTGAAAACGTCACCTATTTCATCAATTTTAATGCTACTCTGAATACCAAATCATGTCAGTTTTGAATGTAACTATTAACAATGAGGACCATATGCTTTTTAGTATTTTATTGATTAATAAAACCGATACCAAACTATGTGAATCAATTAAATAATGTAGTATGTTTGTACTTTTCGGAACTGGGGTGAGAGTAAATTAATTTTTCTATTAATGAGACTGTATTATTTCTATTAATGAGCAATCTCGAAATGTTGTGAAACTTTCCATTAAATCTTATAGCAAGCACTTGCGACCGCTGTGTTGTCAAATGAAATACCTTATATTTTCATTCCATCGTGTCTAATTATACATAGGATCAATTGTTTAGATAAATGTCACTGACATCTTTATGTTTGTTTAGCATACTGATTATTTACTCATCTCTTATGATGTGCTTTTTTCGTAGGATACTTTTTCATATATTGTACAGCTAGAATCATATTCTGCATCTATGCTTTTACCAAAAGAAGCCGCTAAAGAATTACAGTTTGAAGGAATAGAACTTCTGCTTGATTGGGAGTATGAATTGGAACAAGGACATTTTGATGTTACTCCTTGGAATCCTGACCCATCCTCGCTCCTATCATGGGTACCACCACAGAGAGCCAAAGGTCAATTGAAAGCATTTATAAATTTTCTCAATTTGGATAGTCGGCCTTTGGGTAACGGTGGTTCTGGATATTGTCCAACAAAACAACTAATAAAAAAGATACAAGAACAACGTGAACAAAAGTCTCAATTGTTCAAGAGTGAAGTAATAAAATCTCAACGCCTTCTTAATGATTGCCTGAATGAAATCGAAGGTACATTTTCATACAAAAAACAATAAATTGCATTTGAATAAATCTTATAGGTTCTAAATAAATGTTAGTAGTAAACATTATGTTTATCGTTGATACTATTTGCATGGACTAATCATCTGTTGATATGCTTTCTGAATGCATTAAACTTGATGTAGACTAAAGTATCGATATATCCTAACATTATTTCCGTAGAATAATGATATTTCATTTGTCTTCATCTTTTGTATTTATAAAGTAATTTTAATAGATCAATATTTTGTTATTTTACCAGTACTAACATTCTATATATAGTGAGAAATTATGTGATTTGTATGGTTGATCCAGATTATTCGAAGAAATAACTTTTTTACCAAATAATTTCCATGTGCCGTATAAACATAACCATGGCTTATCTCTCAAACTATCCATATATTTCAGCCAAACAAGTATTTCATAGAACCGTTTTCCATACTTTCCCATAAATATATGCACCTTTAATTTATCACTTAAAACGCATCGACTATATTTGGATTTATGTACTGGGCGTAATTAGCCATACTACGTAACTCAAGCTTGATATTGAACATCTAGCTACTGTAAAAAAGATTATTACAGAAAGCGGACATGTACCTGTAAATTATATGCTGTCTACGTGGGATATCTAGTATAACAACTTCGACCAATCGACATTTTAACTTGTATCTGACTAACTGATTGACTGTAACATCCAGCTTGCTTTCAAACACCATTGGAAATTAGGTGAATAAAATTTTATTATTTTCTGTGTCATCCTTTATTCACATGTATGTAATAAATTTGAATAAAGGATGACAAATGAAGGATTTCATTCTTATAACAGGCTCAATTCTCAAGGTTGTTTCCGAAGTTATTGAAACATATCCTGATGATCGCTGAAAAATTTATGCATTATTAGTTTTCCAAGGTGTTGGTAAAATGACTGTAATCGAATCACCACAGGAGAGAACTTTTAATTATGTTCAGTATATATATATATATATATATATATATATATATATATATATATATATATATATACATGTGACCTGAAAGCTTGAATATATATATATATATATATATATATATATATATATATATTCAAGCTTTCAGGTCACATATCAATCTTGACAGATAAAACAACTCCAAGTTACAAATCAAACGGCTTCCGTAAAATTACTTTCCTTGAATGTATCATTTTTTCTTTTCATTTAAGTTAGTTGATTATATAGTTTTCTTCTATACCAATCCAGAATGTAGCGAATCGGTTGAAGAAAATTTAGTCTCCTTGTCAACTATATTAAATATACTGGTTCCCAATCCAACGTCTGAGTCTAATGAAATCGATAAAATGGAAATAATCGAAAATCAATCAGAGACTGACCATAAGTCCATGACAACCATGAACTCATTTGATTCTTTACGTTTGCATGGATGTCTTCCTGGAAGTTCAAGTGGTTTCGGTTTGGGCTCTACACTTACTATTGAAATTCAGTTGCCTTGTAATAGTCAAGTTAATTCATCTAGAGCTTCATTCGAACCAAAAATTTATATTAAACGTTCGACAGAAACAAAAGAATTAGAAGAGTCAGCTACAACTTCCGCTCGTTTAGCAGCAGAAAAACACAGACCTAAGCTTACGAATTACTTGCAAGTGAGTTTGATAGAATAAATCGCCATTAACGTATTATTTTTAAAAATCTCGAACGTTAATGTTTGTTTCTTTCCACATTACATTCTCTGTTGTAAACAAAAAACGTGTACATAATTCTCATTATTAACAAAAACCTACTGCATGGGGACAAATGAAATAGGTGGAGTTATTGATAAGAATAGGTGAATATCAGTAATCAATCGAAGAATGGAGTGTGATCAAGATGTTTGTGTGTGCTACCCAAGGTGTGTGTAAATGTTTGGTACTTCCTAATTACCCACCCTGTAAAAGAATACTTCTTGAAGGTACTAAACAAAAAACCGTATTTAGATGTACGTTTTATTAACCTATTAGCATGACCATAAAGCTTACGAAACATCTATTTGGGACTGATCATACATAATTTTTGTGAGTAGTTTTCAACGTATTTACTTTAGACTCTTACGACCATGTCGTCGACACCGACTTGCTTTGAACTCTAAAAAACGTTCTTTCTGAATTCCAAGGAAAATGAAAGTCCGATTGATTGATCAGGTGCCAAATCTGATACAAGTTTGTGGAACGTATACCAGATATCCCACACCTCTGGTCAAAGTAAGATGGTTTCTCAGACTTTTAATCTACGACGTAGTAGTTAAACGTTTAAACTAATGAATTACGACTACGCATCTCAGTAATTGACAATATTGAGATGTAAGGAGGACTTAATTTTTTAGTCTTAAACGCTTACTTTGAAAATATAGAGTTTGTTGTATAGAATTCTAATAGTATAGACCCTTCATCCAGGTTCATGAATTCATGTTTCTTGACTTTCTGGCTGGCGATTCGCTTGTGTTCACCTATTTTTCGTTTTCTTCTATCGTTCATTTTAGTATTATTACTTTTCCGTTTCTGGTGATTCTTCCTTGACTGTTTTTGTGTCAATGAATTTCAGAACATGCATAGTTCAAATTTAGAGGTAACCTTGATACTACATTCTTAATTTTGAGTTTAAGTAGACTAGCTACGAAACTTTATATTTCTTTAGATCCAAACTGTCTCATTATTTCCTGTATGAGGATTCTAATATTTCTGATACAGAAAAATGTATTTTGACAATTAAACATAGTTTGTATACTCAATAATCTTCCCATAATTCGGTCATTTGTGTTAGATTTTCAATCCTACTCTGTATTTCATATCAAAAACTTCATCATGTTAAGATTCTTTACGAGCCTCTCCACTTGCAAATTTCACACATATATATTTATTTCAGACTTTGGAAAGTACTCACTCAATGAATTTTGCTGCAAAACTTTCTTCTAAACGAAATGAAAAAATCGAAATTCTTAAACAGTGGATTAGTCGAATACAAACTCTGACATCTTTATTCTATGATCGAATCGAGTTCATTGATAGCGAACCAATCCATCGCATAAATAATCTTGCCCGTGAGTACTTCTCAATGTTTATTTATAAAATTGTGCGTAGATATTCATGAAATACTTACCTCGTTGTTAAGTATATGTGACTTTCATTACATTTTTCTTACTGAAGTCTCTTCACAGAACCCTATTCTTTAAATTCAGTTTCTTACCATAATTGAAAATACTTAATACTTAATTTCTTATATGGTTCATATCCGTCAACTGTCAATAGGGATATCGTATACTTACTATTCCGAAACTTTCTTTCTTCCCTATATAGATAGAACTGGAAGTGTGTTTATTGAGCCGAAATCTATAGCTTTTTATTTAATTGCTTTACGATAATTTGCAAAAACAGAGGTTAGTTACGCCGAGCTCTTAGACAAACTGAAATCGCGACAAAACATTTCTTGCTGAATATGTATATCTGAATTTCGTGTAACTTCGATTACCACAACGTAAAGATCTAGGGCTTCTCAGTAACAAAAAGATATTATCTATTTAAACACATAAACATCGGTAAAAAAGGGAACGAAAAACATATGCACCATACAATAACAATGAGAATGTGAAGAGGTAGAGAATATAAAGTGCGTATAAGAATAATAAAAAACAACAACAAACAGGAATTAGTGTATGAGAGTGAAATAATAGTAATAATAATAATAATACTAATAACAATAATAATAATAATAATAATAATAATAATAATGGGAAAAACAGTTCAGGTAACAAGGGTACAACCAGAAAGAATGATTCAAACTAAACAAGTTACCTTCACTTGTATGAAGAAAGTAAAAGAAGGTTACAGCAGGATCGCCACTGGCTTCTATTCTGAGTCATGTTTAATAGTTTCAAGCCACTGTGTTCCACCATCTCTTGGACCCCAACCAGGGAGTCGTGACGAACCAATAGACGACAGTTCAGTACAGCTTTCATACCGAAACACTACGTTGTGCACTGGCCACTTCCGCTTTTTCCGACCGGTCCCGGCATCGGCAAATTATGCACGACGTGGAATTCTGTGGGACGACATTCGTAGAACATGTCCAATCCACTGAAGTCGGTGTTTCAAGATGGTGACACCAATTGGATTATCGTCTCTGTGCCCGAATACACGATGTCGAACCTCTGCATTACTAACATGGTGTTGCCACTGGATGTCAGCAATCCTTCGGAGACAACGATGATCAAACAAAGAGAGTCGTCTAACATCCTAAACTAGGAAAGGCCAGGTTTCACAAGCACAGAGTAGAACTGCTCCCATCGACGCGTTGTAGATCCGACCTTTTACAGCCAGGCTGACATCACGAAGGCGCCAAAGGTGGTCCATATTGACATAAGCCTCTCTGGTTTTCACTGTACGTGCATCTATCTCATCACTCATGCCACCACCAGCACTTATGCAGCTACCCAGATACATGAACTTCTCGACTACTTCTATCTGCTCACTATCCAAGGTGAGTACATGATCAGGGGCATACCAGTCCTGTAAAAGTACTTCACATTTCGAAGGTGCAAAGCACATGCCATACCAACGGACACGAATTTTCAACTGACTAAGTGCGGATTGCATGGCTCGGGCATTATCACACAGTAAGACAATACCATCGTCATATTCCAGGTCGAGAAGTCTTTCTCCAGACAACAGATCCACACCACCATTACTTACATCTATCAGAGCTGTTTCCAGAATGTCATCGATAGCAAAGTTGAAGAGGAATGGTAAGATTGAGCAACCCTGCCTAACCCCGCTGCTTGAATGGAACAATAAAGAAAGGTGATTGTATGTCCTCCCTCTGCTTGAGGTGTTTGTATATAGAGCACACCCTTCCTCAATAAACAGTCGCAGATGACAGTCCTGTCCAACGAATCGAAGGCGGCCCTAATGTCACTATGGTTGTTGGCTTGTGATAAGTATGACGGTGTTCTAACATTTGGAGGAGTGTGAAGATATGATCAATACATCCTCAGCCAGAACAAAAACCAGTCTGCTCCCCACGAGTCAATCTTTCCAGGGTTTTGAACAATCTACGAAGTACGACGGAAGCTAATAGTTTGGACGTAATCGGAAGTAGACCTATCCTCCGATAGTTGTTACAGAAACGACGTGAATTCTTCTTGAAGATAGGGACAACTAACGATTTATTCAATGATGTTGGAATACTCTCTCGCTCTCTAATTGCCAGACATTTGTAAACAACTCATTCAGTTCCTTAACCAGAAAGTCACCACCATCTTTGGTGGTGAACCTTACTGACAAAATGCCTATATACTAATATGACTGGATGAAAAGTCAAAATTACATTGATTTATTCGTTATGATTTTTATTCAACATTAATTCCGTTTTAATCCAATGTAATGATTATTCAGTATAGTATTTGTTTCTATTTTCCCATATGACATTTTATCGTGTATAATATACAATGTTCTTGTATTTTAATGCACATGAACTATTCTCGGTATATGATTTGTTATAACTGGGTTTTTTTATATATGTTATTTTATTCTAATTATTAATCAAAAATGGGTATATAATTCAATATATAAATGAGTGTATTTTCGCCTAGGGTCGTCATGATTGTTCGTGCTTCTGGCTGGTTGTGGAATATATTTCCTTCTTCTGAACTTGAACTTTTCTCTCTAGTTAGCTGGGCAGGGACGCGTCAGAATAGCTACCATATCTGTCATTGTGTCACAGAGTCTTTGTTGGTTCACAGATTAGGTGAACTCGTAATCTCTTCAAACACAGCATATACAGATATAAATGTTTTTAATTTGTACCATACTGTCAGTCGGATCTGTCTAAAACGTTTGGAGCATTCGTAGCAGTGAATCCACATTACAAATTTATAGTATATGTATTACTTACTTACCCATTGTAGAGGAGCGTTGCCTTCCCACCAGGATTCTCCATCGAACTCTGTCCTAGGCAATCCTTTCCAGCTGCTATTCATCTTTTTGATGTCCGCTTCTAGTTGTCGACGTTTTGTGTTCTTTGGTCTTCCTCTCTTTCGTTTCCCTTCTGGATTCCAAGTTAGCGCTTGCTTCGTGATGCAGTTTGATGATTTCCGTAATGTATGTCCTATTCACTCCCAGCATCTCTTCCTAATTTCCTCTTCAGATAGAACCTGGTTTGTTCTTTCCCACAGTATGCTGTTGCTGATTGTATCCGATCAACAGACACCGAGTATCTTACGTAGACAACTGTTTATAAATACTTGTATGTTTTTGACGATGGTTGTAGTAGTTGTCGAAATTTCAGCTCCGTACAGTAGAACTGCCTGGGCGTTCGTATTGAAGATTCTGACTTTGATGTTGGTTGACGGTTGTTTTGAGTTTCATATGTTCTCTAATCGAGAGAATGCTGGCCTTGTTTTGCCAACCCGTGCTTCCACATCCGTTTATTAATGATGCTGCCCGGATACGTGAAAGGCTCCAACTCTTCCAGAGCTTCTCCATCAAGTGTGATTGCGTTAGTGCTCTCCGTGTTGTAATTGAGGATCTTGGTTTATTACTTGTGTGTGTTGAGGCCTATTGATGCAGATGCTTCTACCACACTGGTTGTCTTGATCTGCATTTGTTCATGTGTATGAGATAGAAGAGCCAGATCATCTGTAAAGTCCAAATCGTCTAGTCGTATTTAAGCTATCCGTTATATTCCATGTTTCCCCTCAGATGTGGAGGTCTTCATAATCCATTCAACCACCAGAAGAAGGAAAAAGAGGGAGAGTAAGCAGCCTTGTCTGACTCCGGTCTTCATTTGAAATGCGTACAGTGACGAGTCACATTCAATCGGTAGGGATCCATTCCTTATGATGATGCTTTCTGCGGCACAAAACATTCTGACACGTTAAAGTTAGTGCTTCTTTGATCCCTTTTCAAATATCCTCCAATGTAATTTCTTCTTTGAGTAGATCCTGTAAGGCTTGGAACCTGTCGTTGTGAGTTATCTTGAATTCGTTGAGTTTGTCATTATCTCGAAGGAAGGCTTTATTGAACCTTTGTAAAGTTGATTGTCCAGTTGTCTATTGTTTCTTTAGCTTCAGTTTCATCTTGGCCACAACCAGGTGTTGATCTAAATCTATGTCGGCTCCTCTCCTGGTTCTCACGCCTTTCATTGATCTTCTGAAAAGAATTTTTAAGTGATTAGTTTTTTATATGAAATTAAATTCCCTTTATGTACTTTTTAAATATTATCATGGATGTGTAATTGATTGTTTATTGTATGAATTCTAGCGTGTGTGTTGTTCTTGGTCTTCTCAATAAAAAATTTTATCCATTTTTGTCTCTGTTGGTTATTACATCAGTTTCACAACACAAATTTATTTTAGGTATTTTTTGAGTACAATGTCCTACTAAACTTAGTTAACCAGTAACCTATTCAAAGTAGACAGGTTTGGTTACCATAATTATTATTTCTAGCGATTTAGGTTTTTTTGAACAATTGACTAAATATTAGTTACCAAAAATATCTGATATGTCTGGTGATTTGAGGATGCATTTTTACTGGCAGCTAAATCAACAGGACCTCTCCTAGAGGCAACTCCAGCTTCCAAAATTTGGGTTTCCTGTCTTTGCTCTTAACGACTAATGGTACGTAGGCAACATGATTCAGTTTTGTGAAAGTCTTGACACAATAGCGTCGGTTTAACAACTTCAGTGCTAAATTATATATTCTTAACCCTTTTCTGCTGTTTAGTAAGTAATTGATCATATTTAGATGGTAACCATAGCATGGACACATAAAACTTAATCATATTTTGTCATGCGATATCCACCGGTTGACTTGTTAAATAGCGAACAAACTGTATGGTGGTGCGTCAGGTACTAATGCATGACGGGAAGATACGTGTGGGTTGTGAGAAATGATTGTCGTGTTTATGGTATAAACGCTGAAGAAATAACAAGAGTTAGTAGTGTAGTGAACAAGAGCACTAGTGGGGGACAATCGAATGTATTTGACAGAAAATTACAGAACTTGTTAATAAAATCTAATAATCATATAGTAAATGCTTAATTT